AGTTGCTGGTGAGAATTTGAAAGGTTAAAGGACATCGAGAGTCATAACTGTCAGAGATTTTCGAAAATCGAAACGGCCGCCAAAACCGCCCAATCACACGATGACACGTGGCCGACCCCAAAATCCAGGCAATCATAACAAACATAGACACTAGCCGTTGACGCCACCAGTGTCGCGCAACGCCTGGGGGGCATAGCATACCAGTGAAGGAGAAAAAAGACCAAGCGCAGATCGCGCAGACGCCATCCAGGGAAACCTCGCGGAGAATCCGAAAAAATCCCATCCACGGATATCGGGTAACCCCAAGTTGATCGCGCTGGAGACAAATAGCCACGCAGGGAATCCTGAAATCAAGGGAATAGCTCAGATAGCACGCCAGTGAAGGAGAAAAAAGACCAAACGCAGATCGCGCAGACGCCATCCAGGGAAACCTCGCGGGGTATCCGAAAAATCCCATCCACGGATATCGCGCAACCCCAAGTTGTTCGCGCTGGAACTCGGAAATCAAGGGAATAGCTCAGAAACCCACTCTCGTCTCAAAGTAGCGCGCATGCCGGGTAAGGAATCCCGTGAAGATCGCGTGATCATAACAACTTCAAAACACATGGGTCCGAGCCTACCGAGCGAAAATCTCAACAGGAGGTATTCGAGAAACACCCCCTGTTGGGGGGCAATTGTTGGGCACATGACTCGGACCAGCCCCGCGCCAAAGAGACACTTCGGACCGCGTGCCACAAGGGACACAGCATGGCGCGACACCACCGATGGCGCCCCAGCGCGAAGACCTGGGGCGCGATAAGTGCAAAGCTACGCTCGCGAGTGCAGAGACCAGGCGCTGACCGGACCAAAGAGCCGCAGAAGGCGTCATGGAAGGTCACATCAAGGTCCTAGACACAGTCATAGGCAAACCCCTGACACGTCCTAGGTAGAGGGATGGTCTAAATCCCTGACATGTCAGTGGTCATGTCATTGTACCATCTTGTAAGCCACCCACTCACCCACCACCATGTAGCCTATAAATATGACATTTACTCCGGTGGGTGAGGGGATCGCATTTTTCACATTCTATCTCTATGCTATCAACTTCTCTCTCCAAAACTTCAACTCTTTGGTTCTCAACTTTCCCATCTTTCTGAAGGATTTTCCCCTCTTGTGTTCTTCTTGACCCACATTCTTCCCCGAACCTCACTCCTACACTCAGTTAGGTTCAAACAGATAGATATAGATTAATTCAATTCATCAATAAAAAATTTCAATCAATTTACTTCACATTTAAATGAATTGGTGAATTCATAAATTATTGGAAAATCACTATTTTTATCTCTATTTTATATCTTACCATTTGATATCTAAATCTTATTTTTTAGATTAGATATCAAATGGTAAGATATAAAATAGAGATAAAAATAGTGATTTGTTTTTTAGATTTAGTATCTAAACTTTTAAAAAAAAATTGTATTGGCCCAAAGTTTAGCTACTACTTGATTCTAAGAATACAATCCAGATCCATTTAATCCAATTAATAAATTTATAAAATTATCAATCCATGAATTAAATCCATGAATACCTTGATTATGTTAACATGGATTCGTAGAGAAACACCTCATTCATGAGAGGTCGGCAACACACACTGCTCTGATTTTGAGTTCATTCTTATTCTGGTAATGATTATCAAGAATGCCGACGAAGTTCATTAAAAAAAGGAGATAAAAACAACAGCACATAATGGTGTAGCGTCACTAGTTTGTCACTTTTTTAAAAAATTTGTAACCTGCTTTTTAGGGGTGTTCAAATGGTTACCATGGTTATAACCAAATCAAATAAGGCTAAATTTTTATTAACCATGGAATACAATATTATAACCAAACCGTCCAAACTAATACAACAACCAAATTAACCAAACTAAAGTTTAATCGGTTTGGTTAATTGGTTAACCAGATTAACCAATATAAAATCACATTATCATTGACGATGAAAAATTTCCGGTTAATGCAACAATTCACAATTTATATAATGAATAAAACATAAAAATCAACACGTAGTTATAGTTTACCCTTACCAAAAATACATGCAACTAAGACAATTATCTTACGATTAGTATAGAAGTATTCACCTAACAAAAATTTATGACAACGCAAATGGGTAAATGAATTGTTGTGTTCGTGTAAATTGACTTAGTCTCTTAGCAATTATCATAGGCTGGAAATGACCTTCCTTTCAAATTTTCATCCATCATAATGTATGAAATTTATCTAAATTAGGCGTCCATATGTTGTGGTCTACATTTTACATATACAAATATACACAATATGAGCAATATTGAGCTTTATATTTTATGAGTCTAAAAGGGATGAACGTTAACTCTTGAGTGGTTATGCAAAGTATTAAGTATGTGTATATAATATATGTTAGATATATGACTAATTATTTAACTGGTTAATTTGGTTTGACTGGTTAGGAGTGTCTGAAACCAAACCAAACCACCTAAACCAAACAAGCAAAAAACTTTAACAAAACCAAACCAATTATCCAAATAAATAAAACCAAATTATCCAAATAGTACTGGTTAAAATGGTTACCATGGTAACCAAACTATTTGAACACCCCTACTGCTTTTGGGCACTTTGTGGGCTTCCTTTCTTTCTTGATGCACCAATATTTCTTGCTACCTAGCTAATAAAAGTATAAAACCATCATCATCAATTCATCATCAGTATTATTATTGGAAAATCGTTCTTTTATCATATAACAACGACAAGCTACACATACGTCTAAAACTACTTCAATTTCGTAGAAATTCAAAATAAAAATTTTGGTTACTTATCGATCGATACATATATATATACATACGTAATGAATATGTCCACAAGTAACCAACAAATCTTTGATTGATTGATGCGTCAGTCTTTGTCTCTCTTTTAACTATATTTTTTACCGATTGGTGAAAAGGAAAGTTATTAAGAATATGCTAACACGGATATGCTTTATTTCTCTAAACCTTTTGCAGTTTTACATACTCTTTATTTTACACGTATGTTCATCATATTTAATGAAATGGAAAATTTTGAAAATATTTCACGTCCATCATTTATTTTCTAAATGTATAATGTTTTGTTTTGCTTTTTACAAAAACTTATGAAAATCTTTGTTAATAATCAACAGTTCCCTCGAATGTTAACTTATCAACCGTATAAAAGACACATCTTTAATTTCAAGCCATATATACTTTACAAATTCGTTTTTGAAGATATTGATATATCAAAGCCGAAGATTTATTTAATTTTAATCAAAACTAAGTATTTGTAAGTGTTCGTAAGCAGAGCTAACTTATTGAACTCAAGTTTATTTCTTAACAAAGATTTAATTTAGTGATACTATCACTGATATTCAATTTGAAGGTCTCGACTTAAAAAATCTTAAGTAGCAGCTAACATTTAAACAAACTTTTTTCGCTTTATTTGAGTTAAATCTATTTGGTATTTAATGATAATATTGCTTATTGGTATGCAAAGGAGCAGCAGCCGCCAGCCGGACTCCAAGTTGCATGGCATACGTCACGGAGAATGGGAAAAGAAGGGCATTATAATTATTACTGACGTCACCCAAACTTTATTTTCTGCCATATCTTTCACGTCCATAAACGTTTTTGTTTTCGAATATTGTGTCTGAACAATTACCAATTTATAGTGCGTTGCTTTATCAATACTGAAAATAGCTCAAAACGTGTTTGAACTTTGAAGTAGTGACAAGTTTGCACTACATTGCACGATACCAGGGGGAGTTACATGCATGTACAAACATGACATATCTAAATTTGGAGTCGTTACGATATTGCGGTGTAGTCAAGTTGCACACGTTAGCAGTATGTGTAACATGATAAACCCATATTCAACTTATACAATTACTGGAAAGATGTCCGTTTGTTAATAACTACAAAGACGATGTGACTAATTATAACATGACGACCATGATTACGCATGAAGTTCTCTTATAATGTAGAGAACAAGAGGCAATTCGTGGAGTAATCTATTCAACATAAAAAAAAACACATCGTTTGATTCCTTCTTTTTGGCCTTAACCACCCAATAAAACCGTGTTTGTTTGAGCATGATGCCTTGTACCTATCTATCTATCCTCCACCTTTTATAGTTTTATTCCCATCCCCATTTCCTTTTTTTCTCATGTTGAAAAAGAACCCACAAATTAAACCCCAAGATTAAAAAGCATTTAATAGTACACATTGAACATGGATATAGCAAGGACAAGATCTTAATGATATTTTTGTTAATTGCAAAAAAAGGCGATCTGTTCGTTGATCCTTCGCAATCGTAGCTCCTGTTTTCAGCCCAGACAAGATAATCTCGACTGTGTAAAGGTGGCCTCAATAAGCAGGGAAAAAAGCAAAGAGATGAACACAAAAGAAAAGGAATCAAAACCTTACGTCCAAATTAAAGAGAAAATCATCCGATTCCGATAGATAGAACAAAAAGCGGCCCGCGGATTGGGCCTTTTGGGTTTCGGTGTTCCTTCTTTCTCTGTTCAATAATAAAAATCAACTTTCTACCAAAATCAGCTGCCAATTCAGTTTGGGCTTTATATCGAAGGCCCAGCCCAATTGCATATGACATTTCCCCCCATTGGATGAAATTGAGATTCAAAATGAAGAAGTAGAACATATTCAAGGGTAGTGTCCTTTCTGGTTGTTAATGGCCCTCGGCAATAGAAGAATAAGGGGTGGTATGGAAAATTGTTTTTTAGTTTTTTATTTTTCTGCAATTATTTTTCAAAATCAATAAATGACATGGAAACCAATTCGTAGTTACACATGGGAGAAACGATTAATTGACGGTCAATACTAACGATCAACACAAAATTCGAGCCAAATTTATTCATTTGATTCAGTATTCGAACTGACAGTCTTATTCGAAAGTTCAGGCAAAATCACGTATTGTAAATGAAAGTTCATGTCATTGTCAAAATACGGCACAAACAAAACAAGTGGAACCAAAAGCAAGCCCCATGGCATCATATCTGATATAATTTCATCAAGCTCCAGATTCTGATCTTTTGTCTCAGTAACAACTATGAAATACAATTTAAAGTGCTCGTTTACTCCCACAATTACACACAAACTCCATAAACACATAAAGAGCAAGGCCTTATTAGTACAGACAGAAGGGTGTGTCTCTCCACAAACCCAGAGCAGCTAAAGTTCTAAAACCAGACAGACAAGAAAAAAGGATGATAAACAACTGATCAAAATAGAAACAGGAAAGCAGGGATGAAACTATAGACACTGGATGCTGACTCATATCTCTAATATACAACAACTTGAAAACCAAAGCTAGCTTCCTGGGTCCAAGGGGATAACGGTATCAGGAAAATCCAATCTCGGTCCCGCAAGAGAGTAGTAAGCAAGTATTTGTGCAGGATGCATGATCACAGTTTCTCCATCCTGACTCGGGACAACTATTTTCCTCGGAGGAATCAGCTCGATGTTCCAGAAAGGGCGAGTCATTGCTAGAAGGTCCCTTCCAGTCTGTGATGCTCGGTAACCCTGCACCCACAAGTACCTAAGGGAACCCAGTTGGAGTACAGCTCTAGCCAGTGCACCCTCACTGAAGCAGCATCCCCTCATCTCAAGCTTCTGCAGGCTAGGGCATCCGCGGGAGAAAGCCAGAAGACCCTCATCACTATTCCCGACGTAACCCAGAAGCATCCACGTCACGTTTGTGCTGTACTGCCCAACATAGCTCATCCCCAAATCGGTCAACCCACCTTGTCTGAGATATAGACCGAATCTCCTTAGCTTGTCACAGCCTCTCAATAGTGCCCGAACTCCGTTGTCGAGTGGCAAATCAGCTATTCTCTCCTCTCTATCCAGAAGGACCAGGCGGAAGTCATTGAGGTTCTTTGAGTAGGTGCCAAGTGACTCGAGAGCTTCATTTGAGATGTCAGAGACATACACAGCCAAGTACTCGAGTTCTAGGCAGCCCTGGGAGAGAGCAATCAGTCCCCTTTGTGAAACCACACCTTCTTCATCCTCTGGTCCTTGGTCATCTGCACCACGCTCGATTCTGAGCCTCTTTAGTTTCTTACAACTCCTTGCAAGAACTTCCAACCCTCTATCTCCAATCACATTTCTTGTCTGCGCACATACAAATAGCAGCTGCATTGATTAAGAGCCATCTTCTTTGGCACCCAAATCCCAAAACCTTATTTTTAATTCAAGAATATTTCTATTTCTAGCATGGACTATGAAATCATACTGGATATCAAATCAGTGAGGCTAGTGGTTCAAAGTATATTACAGATTTAAAACAAAACCGTATAAAAAGTATAACAAGCTGTCATAAAACCACATTGTACAGGTATGTAAGTTGATGGGTAAAACTGAACACAATTTGACACACTGATTTCTAGGCATTTACTCAGGAGAAGAGAAATGAAATTGATGTTTCTTGGCATTTAAAAAGTTTTTGCTCATCTATAACCTAAGCCCTTTGGTCCATGTGAGATTAACAGAGACAAGAAAGAATAAAGGACAAATCACTAGTACAGAGTATATGGAACAAATTGAACTAGTAGACAAGGTTAAGAAAACTGTCTGAAGAAACAAACACAAACACAAGATGCACTGGTATGAGAAAAACATGATGAAAGTCATTAGCAATAATTAAGGGATATACAAGAGTGGCCATACCTCAAGGATTTCTAGATTGGTGCACTTTTGAATCAAAAGACAGTGATCCTCTGTGTCAAGCAATGCGTAGAGGAGATCCAACCTTTTGAGAATGGGAGCAAATGGAAAAACTATGGCCATTTCTTTCTTTCCCATGTAGGTTAGACCTAACCGGCATAGTTTAGGGGGGAAAGTTACAGCAGAGTACCTGTCTGGTACATCATCTTCAGGTAAATCAGAAAAGGAGCCACCACAAAATTCTTCCAAAGAAGTTGCAGCTCGAAAGAAGCCAATGAGATCTAGGATCTCACAATCATTCATCTTTACAGAGATCAAGGATCTACAGTTTTTGGCTATGAGTTCAAGGTCTTCAACCCTTAGTTTGGTGAGGTCTATCATGTAGAAGTTAAGAGTCTCAAGAACAGTATTTTGTGTAGCAAGCTCATGTAGCCAGTCACCATCTTTCTCCAAGATAATACTCTCTTCCAAAAACAAAGTCCTCAATTGCCTGTAAGCGACAGAGAACCGCCATGAATGAGAATATGACACTTAACATACTATACACAGTGTCAAAAACATGAAAGTAGAGCAACTCAAGAAATAAGAGTGTCAAAATCGATATGCTTCAGTTTAAAATGAGAACAGAAACAAGATGCTCTAATTTACTGTCGTACTAAGCACATACTTGTGTGCCACCATTGGCACATAAAAGAATTTGAAGGAGAAGAAAGATTCTATAGAAAATACAGTAATGATCAATCACCGTACAAATTCTGAATCACTAAACTGAATTTCCTGTTAGAACCAGCAACCTCATTGCGATCAAACAGAGAAATCTTACTAAAGATGTGACAGACAGACTAGCTAATTCATTGACAACCAAACTACAATTGCTCAGTTTCCAATTAAAGGCAAAAGGTCAGAATACAGCCTAAAACTTCTAGCTGAGAGACCCTATAAGACCCAAAACACGTCAGAATTAATCTGCAATCTGGTGTTCAATTATGTAAGGCAGTTCCACTGCATTTTTTCTCAAAAGTAAATCTAATCTTTCCCTGCAACATGGCAAATGTACAAAGCTTTGACTGCTATCTAGGGAAACAACCATAACCAACAAGGGCACAAAAGGCAGATCTCTTTCTGCAACAGAATATAGCTCATTTTGCTGATGAAATCCATGAGAGCTTCTTACCAACCCCAAAGGCCACCAACCACAAGCAGAGAAGACATCAAACTAGCAAAGAATAAACCCAGATTCTAAATGGTCAAAACAACTAGAAAACAAAGCAGAGGTTTCCATTTACATAAGCGTTCCCAGCCATAAATATGCATACGGAGACTTATATCCCATTAAGGAAAAGAAACGAATACACACATAAAAATGAAGCACAGCAGCAGAACTTACATTCCCAAAAAGCGTAAATGAAAGCGAAAAACATTCCTATGTGTTGCAATGAACTGTACCAAACACCCAACGGAAAATGGAAAAGGGAAAAAATCTCACTTACTTGCACAATCGAGTCACCTGAAGAAGCCCATCGGTAGAGAAATCAGAGCACTTGTCGAGCTTCAAGTGCTGCAAGGCCTTCCCACGAGACCTGGCGAGAAGCTCCAGATCCGAATCCTTAACAATCATCCGCCTGAAGTGAACCGATTTCAAGCAGGTAAACGACTCTGCGATTTCTTTCAACCATGGGGTAACATACCCGCCCCAATTTTCCGGTATCAAATTGAACATGGCCGCCCGGGGCTTCCCCTTCAGCTTCAGGGACTCGAGGTGCTTGAACCGCCGGCGGAGCCGATCTGGGCTCGTCGTGTAGCAGAGGGCAATCGTAACGTGTTTACGGGTCTGAGCGTCCAGCTCGTACCACCGCCGGCAGACCAGCGACACCGCGTCCCTGTCACGCGCGTCGTGGATGTACGGCATCACGCAGCCTAGAACGGCGTCGGCCATATACACGCCGCCACCGCCGCCGCCGCTCGGGCTGCAGCTGCTCCCTCTGTTGACTTTCCCGTCGTTCCTATTATCCTCCATCTCAGAAGAGAAGAAAAAAATCGGCTGTTTTTTTTTTTTTTTTACAGTTCCTCTGCAAGATCAAAACCGATACTCTGTCTCTGGACACAGATGCGAGTAGTGAATGGGATGGATGCCTATTTATTTTAATCTTCGTCACTCAAGAGAAATGAATATTTTCGAAAACAGACAGACATGGAAATCCAGCAAAATCCGAACTTTCTATAAAAGCGAGCCTGAGCTGCTCCATCGAATCCCAATCAAATTGGGCAAATTGAGAAAGAACCCAATCCGAATCTCCCGAAACCCACAAATTTCCACAGCTGGACGAGCTCAGAACTACCAAAACCAAAACAAGATTTAGAAAAGAAGACCAACCCCCAAAGAAGAAAAAGAAAGGCACCCTTTCTCCGGTGGAACAATCGAGAAGGCGAGAAATAGGGGAACCCTTATCGATTATTCGCCGGCGAGAAACAATTAATTGAAACCAGCAGGAAACCCATATCCAGATCGATGAATTGGGGTCAACCGAGTGAAGTGATGGGGAAAAGCGGAGAGATGTCGGAGGAAGACGGCGGGGGATGCGGCTGCGGCTGCGGCTGCGGCGGAGAAGAAGAAAAAAAACAGACGGCGACAGTTGGGTAACAGTTTATAGTGGATGAAACTAGGCAGGGATTGATCGAGGTCAGCCGCACAAGCGGAAGGGACGGGGACCCTAGTTATGGCAATGGCCAAGGAAGGAAACTAAATTTCAAGGCAATAAACTAAAATTATTATGCAACAAATGGGAAATGTAGCAGAGAGAGCTGAAGTAGGTGCCTCGAAAAATAAAATTAAAATTAAAAGTTATTTTCAACCAACAAAAAATATTAAAGAGGGAGGGAAGACGACAAATGGACTTTGATGCCCCTGGGTTTGAACTTTGAATAACATAAGGTTCCTACGTGGCGTGATTTAATTGGCGAATGCTTATTAATCGATCGCAGTAAGTTTCACTCTAACGGTTAAGTAAGCCACTTGTAATTTTATTTATTTATTTATTTATTTTTCTGTCTCCCAGAAAAATAATATCAGGAGAGAAGACAATAGAGAATACAAATAATTTTTATTTATTACCGTACATGTAAGGGTTTTCTAGATTAGTTGCAAATATATTTATCAATAGTTAATGTGCTCCAAAACTTGACTAGTCTCATCTAATCAAGCCTATATATCGTTGATAATAATATCTATGTTTTGTTTTGTTTTTAGTTGATGTATTCTTAAGATTGATGGATGAAGACTTTTGATTACATCAAATTGGAGTGATGGTTTAGTGTGTTTGATGGCGTGGCTTATTATCGCTTTTAGTATTAGTATGGTTCAGTCTTCGTGTCCATACAATATGATATATTGGTAAAGTGCAGATGATGAATTGTGTGGTTTATTTTTTGGGATGTGTGTAATTGAGGCATTATGATTTTTCATCCTCCCTAACTATTTGTTCAAACAAGCTATGAGACCGTGTTAACAGGGTTGTCATGGAGAAACATCTCTCTTGTATCATAATTCTAACTTATCCTCGTGGCTATCTAATTGGCATGGTCCATGAAACCGTACCGGACATAGTACCGGGAAAGTCAGCGGTAGGGTATTTTATGGTAAAATCGTGGTTTAACCGTAGTTCAACCGTTATGCCGGTAAATACCGCCTACCGGTTTAGCCTCCGATACTGGTATTTCGTGGTTGAACCGCCGGTACGGTACGGTTTCATGGACACTGCTAATTGGGGGCCCGACTGATACTACCTTAGAGAAAGACAATACCACCCCCCCCCCCCCCCCCCCACGGAACACAGCTTACAACTTTCATCGTTCGTACTGTTCTCTCCAAAGAGTAACTCTTTTGAGTTGGAATCTCATTCTAACTAATTATAATGAAGAGCTTTCCCCCACCACCTTTTTCCGCCCCTCTTTGGTCTTACGCATATTGGTTTTAAGAATGAGTGATTGTCCTACTCTGCCCCTTACTGTCAAATCTGAGAGCGGACAGTTAATACGCCCCCACTTATTTATTAAATAGGGTTGTCGCGTGAACAATTATTTTTCTTGATCAATTTTACTGTAGTCGGCTCGGCCTTACCCATTAATCATGTTACTTTTAATAGTTAGTACCAATTTTGAATAGGATACTCTTTTCATCCTCGTAGTCAATCATATAAAACAACTATGCAGTGATTTAACGAGTTGTGTAATGTAATTTCTTTTCAGAGATTCTACATGCTCAATTATTTTCAAAATATACAATTTTTGAAGAATAAAAGCTAAGTGCACAAAAACTAATTATCTTATTATATTAAAAAATAATAATCTTTTTGTAAAAAATATATTCCTAGTGGTATATGAGAAACGATCCAATTAAGTAATTAATCGATGGTTGTTAAAGTAGATGTCTTTGAACCCTTGAGCAGTACTCTATATACATAGATACTATTGGGGGTACTACCCAACAGTTAATGGTCTGGGCCCCCATAAAGTAGGATTGGGGGCAAGGCCCAAAAAATGGTTCCAATAAAGACCACTAGGCTCAAGCAAGGCGTGTCAGGTGGTCCAAAAGGACAAAACACTAAAAGCCAAGACAAGATCAGCTGTCAGGTGGTCCACTGCCTGCAGGCGCCTGTCGCGTGTCAGAAGCCTGACAAGGCGGTTGGATGTCTCACAAAGAGGACAAAACACTAAAAGTCAAGAGAAGATCAGCTGTTAGGAAAGGACAAAAAGGACAAAACACTAAAAGTCAAGAGAAGATCAGCTGTCAGGTGGTCCACTGCCTGCAGGCGCCTGTCGCGTGTCAGAAGCCTGACAAGGCAGTTGGATGTCTCACAAAGAGGACACAGAGCATTAAATTGGGGCAGTGACGTGGAGGAGATCAACCTCGAGTTCGGTGAGTATAAATAGGGGCAGTTGGTAGCATTTACGCAGGTTGGACTCTCTTACTAAAAATTCCTATTCTCAGACCTTTCCCTCTCTAAAGAACTAACTTGGGCGTCGGAGGATTAACGGGCCCAGGCGCCCTCCTCGTTGCGTGTGTGTGTAGGCAGGCGCCGGGTGAAGTGAAGACTCGGAGGTGCTCGGGGGTATCTAGGCACAAACAATTGGCGCGCCATATAGGGGAATATAACCGAGAATCATGAGTGAGGAAACGTCAATGAATGGTGAAAGAGAAGGAGAGGAGATTACGGAAGACCAGTCGGAGCGATTGAGGGGATTGGCACCCGAGACGGAGGAAGGGGAGGAAAGTGATGGCATGTTCCGAGGGTCGGAAGGCGCCTCGGTGACGAAGAAAGAACTGTTTAAAATCATTAAAGACCAAGACGGGGCGATTGAGGCGCTTCGAAGGGAGATCGACGCACTGAAAAGAGGCGGGGGGTTGACGCCCAGCCCGACGAAGAAAAGAGAAAGGATGGCGGAGACAGAAAGCGAGTCGGGGTACCAGAGGCGTCCCAGTCAGTGGCACCCACGAAAGTGCGAAGGGCCGGACGTAGGGGGATGGAATGGAGGAATTTTGGGGCGCCTATCCCGTCACGGTCCCGTGAGACAACCTTTGGCACGTAATATACTAATGGAGCCTGCGGGGACCAACATTCTCCCGCTCCCCACTTATGATGGGACTGCTGATCTAGAGGACCACCTCAATGGTTACTTCACCAAAATGCAGCTATACGACAGTACAGACGCCACCCTATGCAAAGTATTTCCGTCAACTTTCGCGTAGTTCTCGATTGGTATTACTAGATTGAGGAGGGGCGCATTGAGTGCTTTGAGCAATTCGCATAGATGTTCCTTGCGAAGTTCGCCAGCAGGAAGCGTCGCACCCTGACCATAGGCGCCCTGTTCAAGATCAAGCAAAGAGAGGGAGAGGTTTTGAGGGAGTTCTATGAGAGGTGGCTGTCCGTGGCCTTGGCAGTGAAAGATGCGCAGCCTTCGGTGTTGGGAGTATGCCTGAACGAATGCACCACCAGCGAGGAATTGTGCAGGTCGCTGGCAAAAAGAGACGTTGTGTGCACTGAAGATCTAGACCACAGGGTACAGAAGGTCATCATGCTCGAAGAAACGTTGGCAGCCAGGAGGGCCGACAGGCGGAAGACGAAGGGGAAAGAGGTAGAGATGGCAAGGAGGCCGCACATTCCGAGCGGTTCGGGGTACGCGCCCGCGAATCCCCCCCCCCCCCCCCCGCCCAGAAGGATGGACGCCGGACGCCCAGAGGATCGAGATCCTTTGCTGAGTATACTGATACGCTGAAAAACATACTCCAACACGTCAAGGAGAAGGAGTATCATATCAGGTGGCCGGGCCCCATGAGAGGACAGCCCAACGAGCGGAACCTGGATCGATATTGTGACTTCCACCGGGAGGTGGGACACCATACAGCCGACTGTTATCAGTTGAAGACTGAGTTGCAGGTAGGGATGGCAATGGGTCGGGTCGGGGACGGATAGTGTATATCCGTTACCCTACCCAAAGTAGTTCGGGTTTTACCCATACCCATACCCATATGTGAAACGAGTAGAAAATTAAAACCATGCCCATACCCGTTCGGGTTTCGGGTATCCACGGTTATCCATGGATAATAATTTCTCTTCATAACTCCAACCAATATGTTAACATTCACACGTGTTCTCACATTACGTAAAAGAAAAGGTACGACAATAGTTCACTAGAATGAAGAAAATTAATTAAAACAACACAATTTCATGAAAATATTATATTTATATGCTAAATATAAAATATGTTAGAGAAAAATAATAATTACTTCTAGACAAAATACATATGCATGCGTATAGTCGGGCGGGTTCGGGTTGGATAGTTAGAAACTCATGCCCATCCATTACCCGCAATATTCGGGTTCGAGTTTTACCCGTACCCACTAAATGTCCTTCGGGTTCGGATTTTACCCTACCCGATTAGGCCGGATTCGGGCGGATATCCACGGTTATGGATATTTTTGCCATCCCTAGTTGCAGGGCCTGGCCGACAGGGGGATGCTTAATGACTTTGTCAAGAAGCCCGAGGAGAGAGTGCACTGGGCCTGCGTGGCCGGCGTGGAAAAAGCAAGGGAAGAGCTGCCGCCCCCACCGTATGACCTCGACCAGGCAAACGCGCCCGAACGTGTGCACCTGACCATTGAGGCAATTTCGGGGATGGTGGACTTGAGGGAGAAAATAGAAGCGAACCGCCACCTGAGAGCAGCATCGACAGACGTGCAAGAGGCAATCGATATCAGTTTCAACAAGGCACCAGAGGAAGCGTGCATGCTCCCGTCCATGGACGCCCTAGAAATACAAGGAGTGGTGGCGGGGTGCCAAGTGAGGAGAATGCTCGTAGATACCGGAAGTTCGATGGATGTGTTGTTCAAGGATACAGTGGTTCGCATGCAACTATCGTCAGAGCTCATCAGACCATCCGAGTCGGTGTTGGTTGGCTTTTCAGGGGCGCCGGCTAGAGTGATAGGGCGAGTGCGCTTGCCGGTCACCTTGGGAGATGGGGATCAAAGGGTGACGTGTGCCATCGATTTCGGAATAGTTGACTCGCTGTTACTGTCACTCTAGAAAATGGCCAAGTGTAACCACTTCCTAAAGCGTAGTATAGCGGGTTTGGGTTTTATTGTCAACCCGGGTCCTAGATGTGATGACTACACAGTGAATTCGTATTATCTAGCAATGAAACTTTAGTGAAGTTCTAAACTAACAAGCAAACAAAACAACTAAACGGTTGTATTCAGGTTATGAGAGGTCACCCGGATATGGTTCCCCCTAGACTGCAGTTAAGCCGAATTGTAAT